GCAAGTCTGATGTTCAACTCCTATTATACCCCCTAAACCGTGAAACTAGGCTTTAATGCTCTGATTATCCAATCTTATTCACAATCCTTATTCGACTTGTAGTGCCCGAAGGGTTTTCACCATCAAGCCTCTCTCATTTTGTCCTTTCTCTCAACTTACAGTCACCTCAAGGTGCTCGTGAAGGTTCTCACCAATAAGACTCTCTCATTTTTGATTTCTCTCAGCTATCCATCGCCTTACGATGCCCGTGAAGGTTTTCACCAATAAGACTCTCTCATTTTTAACATTTCCCTGCTTGGACCAAAGTGCTGCCCCTGATATGCATTACCTCTCATTATTTGACCTGACATTTCTCGAAGACTGATCGTAAGGTCTTTCTTTGGACCGTAATGTGGGCTTTTTGGATAAGGTTAGAAAGAAAGGGTATCAAAGGCTCAAACAACTCATCATGGGTTTAAAATTACAACTTTCGGAACCAGATTTCTTACAACAACCCCAATTTCTGCCCTAGTTTGTTGCTTGGGGACTTTTGGATTTTTATTTTGATGGGACCGAACCGTGAGGCTGCCTACGTATCCTTAAAAGGAATCAGTTCAAACGTAGTTCATGACATAGGAATTTACTTTGTTTGTTGTGATTTTTCTTTTCTTTTTTTTCTCTTCTTTTCTTCTTTTTGTTTTTTCTTTTGTTGTTTTTTTCCTCTCTTTTTCTTTTTTTTTTCTTTTTCTTTTCATTCTTTTCTTTCTCTCTTCATTCGTTTCTTTCTCTTTTCATTTTTTTGTCCTTTACTTACATTTTGCACTTGCGTTTCTGAACTTTACCACTGATTCCAAACGAGGGGCATGAAAAAGAAATAAATAAGGCTCAAAAGCGTAACAAAGGATAAAGTGTTTAGATAGCAGAACAAAATGCCTTCGTCATTTCAATCTTCAAAACATGCCCAGTACAAACAAAAAATAATTAAACAAACCAAAGGAATCATACACAATATCTTTTGACTGCATTAGAATTGATAACCATATCCACACATTTGCCCTCTACATCTGTTAAATACAAAGCACCATTGGACAACCCTCTCGTTACCACGAACGACCCTTGCCAACTTGGGGCAAACTTGCCTTTAGCTTCAACCTGACACGGCGTGATGCGTTTCAATAGTGTTTCTTTATATTCTATCTGCCCCAGTTTCACACAATTCAGACTTGAAGTGATCTCAAAATGCCTTCACTTATTTCCCTCAAATGTACCTACATATTCAACATTGTTTCGTTACTTCGTGACTAAACTGACTTTTAAAACCAGGCTGAGAATTACGCGTCAATGTCATGTCACTAGAGTCAATAGGAAAAGAACTATAAAAAGAAAAGAGAACTAAACAAAAATGACTAGAAATTACAGAAAACAGAAAATTGCATTAGATAGATGGTGAAAGGGTTTGGACAGCAAAACAAACAAACTAAACTGGGGTTAAACCTAGAACAAACCTAGACAACACTAGTCGGGCTATTATGACTAAACAAACTAGGCAAAATAAAAGGATAGAAGGGTTTGAGTCACAAGACAATATCCGGATTACAACCCTGAAATAACCCGGACAACAAAAATGACAACAAAATAAACCACCAAAACTCCTCTCCGGCCGACCAGGAAATGGAGCGTCTTTCCAATTACCAAGCTCGGTATCTTAGCCACTGAATTCTGCATCAACAATACTAGGGCCTCCACAAGTCTTCATCATATTGTTCTTAACACATTGCTTTTGGGTTCCTTTTGCCGGCTCGTTCTTAAGATCAACCCCTGATAGTGTTGAAAGCTTAGTAGCACGTGGACCTCCGAGGATCCCAGAAGAATTCTCACATTCCTTTTCAAAATAAACCATACCCACCATATGAGTCTCATTATGCACAGGCGATGGACTTTGGCTAGTGTCTGCTGCATCTGGATTTTGCACTACAATGTCGCCTGCATCAATAAGCTTCTGAATCGCATTCTTCATATTCCAACACTTCTCTATATCATGCCCTGGGGCATCTGAGCAATAGGCACACCTTTGAGAAAATCAAACTTCTTTGGAAGAGGGTTTGGTATTTTTATCTGGGTCGGCTTCAACATGTCCAATTTCCTTAGCCTCTGGAATAGACTGGCATATGACACTCCCAATGGAGTGAATGTTTTCTTCTTCTGTAACCTCTCGTTCTTGAAGGCTTGACTGGGTCGGAAACCTGATCCAAAGGGTTTTCGATAGGCTCGTGGGGGGTAGATAGACATTTTGTGGAGCTAGGTACTGGGAGAGTGATGTACGACTTTGGGAGTTCTGTGGAGAGAAATGACATTGCGGAGGATCATCTGGTGCATAAGGATATCCACGGGGACGATGTCGAGGCTGGAAGCGTTGATCGGGAAAGCCCATTGGATCATCTTTTCTGTTTCTCTTTCTTCCACCCAAGCTTACTGGGATGTTCTGAATGTTTTTCGAACAACTCATGATTTTACCTGACTTGATTCCCTCTTCTACTAGCTCCCCCATTTTTAACATATCATTGAAAGGCTTCTCCAGGGCCGGGATCAAATGACTGAAGTAGGTGGGCCCCTAAGCTTATAGGAAAAGCTCAACCATTTCTTCTTCACCAATCGGGGTATTGACTCGAGCAACCTGCTCCCTCCATCTGAGCCCAAACTCTCTAAAGCTTTCCTCCGGCTTCTTTTCCATTTTAGATTGGGAGGAGCGGTCTCGGGTAACACCTGATCTGTATTGAAAGTATCGAACAAAATCTTGAGCCATTCCAAAGCTGCCCCAGTCAGGCTCTTACTGAAGTACGCTATCAACAAATCATCTTTCTCGCCAACACTTCTCATTTTACTGCAATAATCCCTCAAATGGGCTACCGGATCCCCACACCCATCATACAAGTTAAACTTTGGCACTTTAAACCCCGCAGGCAGACAAACTTCGGGAGACATAGACAATTCTTTGTAAGACATGCTACCATGGTCTCCTGTTCCTTGCTTGTTCTTTAAGGACTATTCTATGCCTTTCAGCCTCCTGGGTATCCCATCTTGCCCCTTTCTTCCTATGAATTTTTCATTTTCAACATGAGGCTCATCCCACGGGCCCTACTTGTATGAGTTGGGAACCTTGTGGGCAACCTCCGAGGGGTAATATTGGGCATCGTGAGCTTTGAGTGGGTATTTATTGTTGGGGATGGTGGATAAGACAGGAGGGCAATTTTTGGGAGAGGTAATTGGAAGATGAGTGACAGAGCTAGTAGGGTGGTCGGGAAAGCCATGATAAGCGGGTGGATCTGGAGAGTGTGGGGGATCATCTAGCACTGTGACCGGTGTTTGGGTAAGGGCATCATTTAGGAAACTAGGTGGTGGCAGAGGTGGTGCCTTCCCAGTCATCCAAGCCTGATACATGTCCGCCATGTGTTGTCTCAACATCTTTATCTCTTCAGCCAACCCATTATCCTGTTCAACCAACTGCTTTCGGGCACCAGTATCAACCAACTCAGTTCTGTTGTTGTCTGCCATTGCCTTTTGACTTTGTGTTGTAGAGAAGAGTTACCACTTTAAAAACCACAAACCAACCACCCTTCTGGTATAAATATAACAAAATGAAGCCATCATGTTAGCGTTAGGGCATTTAACATAAGATAATCTCACTTTATGTGTAATGCACCTAGCTACAGTTATCAGTTCTAAAATGACTTCGAGGGTACAAAGGTCAGTTGGCATCATCCCAATTTGTTCATTTCAACCTCTCTTTTCTTTGTTTTTCTAGCACTTCTTAGCTCGCTCATTTTCCTTCCCCTTTTCTTTCTGATTATCGCTCTTTCCTTTCCTCTCATTTCTTACCTCCCATAATTTCACCCCCTTTTTTTCTTTTCTTTTCTTTTAATAAATAAAAAAATTGATTCGATCGAACCCTATGTAGGTTGCCTACGTATCATGTCCCCGCATGAATCAGATCTTTGCGTAGTTCTGGAGATCGGGAATAAGGTAAACAAACTAACGTTCTCATTTCATTTTTTTCTACCTTAATGACTACTCTGATAAGAAAAGAGAAATAAAAGAAGCAAAACCATTTTTTTTTTTGAATTTTCTAAACTTAATGTTCTATAACATATTTTAAACTCAAGCTTAACGGATTTTTTTTCTTTTTGAAACAAATACTCTATGAGAAATTATTAAGGAAAAACCCTCCAAGAAAAAAAATATTTTTGATTCTTTTTTTTTTTCCAGGAAGGAAATCTAAAGAATAACTCAAAGAAAAATATTTGAATTTTCATTTGATATCCTGGCGCAATATTTCGAAACAAGCAATGAAAAAAGATAAAATAAAATATTTCTGGATTTCAATTTTGATTGCCTAAAGAAAATATTCTAATGATAAAACAAAAGATAAAATATTTTTTTCTATGTACAATATCCTAAAGTTCTAATGAAAATAATTTTTTTTCATTTTTCACTAATTTCCCAAAGAAACACCTCAAAAGATTTTTTTTTTTTTTTTTGGATTTTGAGATTAATGCCTTGAAGAAAACTTTTAAAGAGGTACTAAAAGGAATTTTTTTTTTGAATTTTGGTCCTAATATAGTAAAGGAAATATAGAAATAATTTTTATTTAAGTCCTAGATATTAATTGTCTAATGGAAAAACCGCCTCAAACAATTTTTTCAATTTCTAGGAGTAGTATTCTTAAAGAAAATTCTAACGGAAATATGAAAACGTAAAATATCCCTTTTTTTTGGATTTTTGATTTATAACACATTTGTTTTCCAAAAATAGGAAATACCAAAAACAAAAGACCTAACATTACTGTACAAAACTAGAAAGTAAAAGACGACATAAAAAGGAAAACAAACTCAAAACATAAAAAATAAAAGTAAAAATTTTCTTAAACAACACTTGAACAAGTAATCCTGACTTTCTTTATAAGCCGTAACATCCGAAGGAGCCCGTCATCGGTGACATCATGGCAAAAGCATTTGAAAACCTGCTCAACAGCAGTCCGCATACATAGTGATGAGAGAGTTCCTGACGCATTCATTTGTCTCAAAACCAGTCAGAATTATATGTCCATGCAACGGCTTGCCATAGTTCAGCAGATCAGTTTCAGTTGAGCAAGAACCAAGAACATTAATCAAAGTAATGTAATTTGGAGGATTCTCTTCCTCTCTCATTGACTTAAAATTTCTCACTGCCTCAAGTGTGTCCTTATTATCTGCATAGCCACCAATCAATGCATTCCAAATGACTAATTCCTTGTCAGGCATTTTTTTGAAATACATTTTTAACCTCCCACATCATACTACACTTTCCATTCATGGTGACTAATGCATTGCCAACTATTAAATTGTTATGGAACCCATGAACAATTACAAGAGCATGAACAGTTTTTCCTTCATCAAGCAATTGACCATCTGAACACGCAGCCAAAGCACTAGCGAAAGTCACATAGTTAACTGTTCTTTGCAAGTGAAGCAGTTCAGCGAACACTTCCAAAGCTTTGAAGTACTTACCTGTTAAAACATAACCAGCCATCATGGAGTTCCACGAAATCACATCCTTTGCTGCCATGGCAAAGAACAAACTTTCAGCATCTTTGGGCCTCGAAGCCTCCAAATACATGGAGAGAAGAGTATTACACACACAAATATTAGAATCCCATCCTGATTTCAACGACAAACTATGAACACCTCTGCCTAAGTTTAGACAATCAATAGTTCCACATATAGACAACAATGCAGAAAGTGTAGTTGAATTGACATCATCATGAACATGACGCATTTCAGAAAAGGAGTTGAACGCTTTCTTGTACAATTGGTTATACGCTAGTGCTGAAATAATCGAATTCCATGATATAGTGTCACGGTCAATCATGGCCTCAAAGATATAAGAGGCATCTTCAATGCAACCAAAACTACCAAACATCGAAATAAGAGAATTTGATACAGAAACATGGTCTTGGAATCCAGACTTTACAACCTGACCTAGCATTTGATGACCCAAAAAATCATCATCAAGAGCTATGCAAGAACTAATAACAGCAGTACATGTGTTTTCATTACCAGACACCTCATCATGTCCCATTCTTCGGTACAGATCTATTACCACCTCTGGGTAACCATTATCTGAATATGCAACCATCAAGGAAGTCCAAGTTACAACATTCCCTTCAGGCATTTCCTCAAACAGTGCTTTAGCACTACAAGGTAGTCCATATACACCATAAAAATGGAGAAAAGAAGTTTCCACAAAAACATCATTCAACAAACCATATTTCATAACCAATCCATGAATTTGAAATCCTTCCAAAACCATATTTTCCAATCTACTGAATGCAGTCAACAAGCTAGCCACAAAATACCCATTTGGTTGAATTCCAAAACCCCACATTTCAACAAAAAGAATTACAGCATACAAGTAAAGACCCATCCTAACATACCCAGATATCATATTATTCCAAGACGCCCCATAAGTAAACAAGCATCCGAATAGGCAATCTTTGTCCTGATCCTCCAACAAGTCGACAGTTAACTTCGACAGTGCATCCAATTTTATGCATGGAAATGCACTAACCAATATTGCCAGGCCTAATGCAAATCCCTGCCTTGCACACTCTCTCGATGAAGAAAGGCCACGAATGAGCCTTTGAACTGCATATCCCAAACCAGGGGCACAATTATTCAACTCATCATCCTTTTCAGCTTCCAATTTGAGTTGACCATCGACCACTTCCCGTTGGACACATTCAAGACATGATTGTGACTATTTTTCTGAAATTAACCTATGTGGCTAAAAATGGCTAAAAATATAAGATTTGGCTAAGACCCCACGAAGCCAAGAAACTAAACTCACTAGGAAGACCGGACCCTATGTGAGTTGCCTACGTATCCCGCCCCGAGAGACGAGAATCAAGTTTGCGTAGTTCAGGCAGATTGGATACGGGCAAGAATAATAAAAAAACCACTAATTTATAGAAATCACATTTTTTCTTGTTTTTTCTTGAAAAATGACGAAACATGCAAAATCTTTTTGTATTTTCTTTTTCTCTGTTTTTTTTTGATTTTTGAAAAATGATGAAAAAGTGCAAAATCATTTTTGAATTTTTCATGTTTTTTTTGTCTTTTTCTTAAAAAATGTAACAAAAAACATAACTAGGCCCTACTTGCTTTATTTTCACACTTCCCCCTCTTTTTTTTTTTTCTTCTTTTCTTTCATTTTTCATTTGCCCTCCACTATCACTGGTCCGCCAAATGACCCTTTGACCCTTGTAGAAATGCAACATGTAACACATAAGATGCATCAAGATGGTCTTTTTTATTTTTGGGTACACCTGTCCTAGACGGACCCAACCCCTGTGTTGAGTCCCCTAAGTCAAATGCACGTGATGCAGACAAACGTTCCTACTAGGGATCCGATATGAGGATGTGTTTTTCTAGGTTTAAAAACCTGGGTTTATTTGTTCTAGACCTGGCTTACCCGAGCGGACAGCTCGAGCCGAGGGGGGGGGGGCAGCGTACCAGAAATACAGAAGCTTCACCGGCTTTGCAGCTTGTCCGAACCTCGTTCTAAATTTGGGATATGACGCTAACAGAAAAGAAGTCACACTAAGTGCACACTTCTTCATGATTTAGAAGACTCAGAGAGAGGAGGGATTTCGCAACAGTTTATATACAGTTCACGGAATATCAAAGTGGTAAAAGCAACCAATTAGCACATTAAGCCTAAATCATGTAACAAAATCAGATAATAGATAAAGCCAACTATAACAATTATTCTAAGCTCGAATTCTTGAACACTAAACCAGAGATTTTGGGTTCGATCCCCAACAGAGTCGCCAGAGCTGTCACACCTCCTTTTTACCTACACCCCCGGAAAGGTGCGTATAAGAGAGTTTTTCCAATTAAAGGACAATCGAAACGAGATTTATTATTAAAAGAATCAGAGTTGCCACTTGGGATAATTTATGTTGTCCCAAGTCACCGGTTGAATCCCGAATCGAGGAAAAGCTTGACTCTATTTTTGCAGTCTGCGAACACAGAAATTCGGGTAAGGAATTCTGTTAACCCGGGAGAAGGTGTTAGGCATTCCCGAGTTCCGTGGTTCTAGCACGGTCGTTCAACTGTTATATTCAACTTAATTATCTGACTTTAAAACACTTTTAAACCTATGTGCATTTTAATTTTAAACCGCTTTTAATTATTTAAGAAATTATTTCAAAGTTGTTTAAAACACATCATAAGCCACGCTACATGAAATGTACCCGTGGTTCACGACACGTTCTCTTTAACCTTGTTGGAAATTAGAGTCGGGTCACATGAAATGCACACCCGGATTTTAAACGTGTTTATTTCATTATTATTATTCAAAATTATGGCTGGGTCACATGAAATGCACACCTGATCCCATTTAATCTAATGTGACGTAGTTCATCAATCCAATTTCTATACTGTGAAAAAATCATGTTCAGCTATAACCAATCCGAATAAACACGAGCAGATAACCGAGCGAGCAAATTCAAAACTATGGAGAACAATTACAGAAACAATGGAATCGCATCACCAAACAAATAATTAACATTAAGCTCGAATAAAATAAAGAGAGAATGAAAGAATTGGACCTCAATATAGCCGGAAAATCGGCTGTTTCAATGTTTAACACTCAAAATGTGCCGAACCACAGACGAAATCCGAATTAGCACCGGAAACTCAACCAAACACGGATTCAAACCCACACTTTAATCATTGTTTACACTGACAAAGATTAGGTCCAGTAGCCCACGAAATCCTGTTTGATTTCTTCAATTCCATGAAACCCCTTTATGACTTAATTAATAGATTCCAAAACACTCAGATTTCTTTAAGATAAAAAAACGAATTGTTTCCCATTCCAAGGTGTTAGAAGCTGCAAAATGTTTGCACCTGAAAGAACACATTGTCCTTGATGGATCTGGAAATGAATTCAAAATAGCTCTATGTTGATAAACAAAGTTGGAGATTTACAATATCACTCGTCAAACCAAACAGAGCCACGATCGGCGGACTGAAATGCCAAAACTATGAGCCAGAACCTCAAATCGGCGCCGGAAAACTCTACATCCAAACTCAAAGCAACTGCTATCCAGTAGAAGAAAGAGAGGCTTCGAAAACTTTTGCAAGGCAGTAAACTCGGATTCACGAACGAGATTCACGGCTGGACTCGTTGGTGGTTGCTGATGGTATGTTCTGGTTTTCGGCTGGAGCTCGTTTTTCAGGCGAGCTGCTGGAGGAGGACGATGAAGAGAACATCAGCTGGTGTTCAAGGTTTTTGGCGAGTTTTGTTAACGGGAAGAAGCAGAAGCTGAAAGGTCCTTTCTCTATTAAAAATGGCTCAAGCTCACGTAGGGTTCTTTTTGTGTTCTCTGGTTTTTGTTAGATCTTCATGAAGAAGAAACTCATGGGGTCTGGTCGTTTGGTGTTCAAGCTGCTATGGAGATGGAGTTCTTTCCTAGGGTTTTTGTGTTAAACCCTCTTGAAGAAGAAGAATCGAAGGTTGTTTGGGGTGGCAGTCTGCGGAGAAGATGAGGTTAGGGGGGTGGGTCTCGTGAAAACGGCAGATTCCCTTTGGGGCGCAGCTTTCTGCTTTTCCCTTCAATGTTATCTCTTCCCCTTTTTTGATTTTTTAAGCATTACTTTATAGGTAAAGTCTAGGTTTAGGTGTATTTTGTGTATTTTGCCCATTAGTCCCTAGGTCTTTTGTGTTAAGTCCTTAGGGTCTTTTTTATTTCTTTTTGTTCCAAAGAAGAGTCTAGAAGGGTCCCTAGGCTTAATGGACTAATCCAAATTGGGCCAAAAATTGGGCTCTAAAACTCTTAAAATTGTGATCTAACACCTTAATTAACTCCTTTTAAAATAAGATAAAAATACTACACAATCCAAAGCTAATCCTAATTAATTAAACTAAACACGAAACTATTTTTGTATATTTTTGTTTATTTAAATTTATGAAAGATACGTAAGCTAAAATATTTTTGTAATTTTCTATTTTTATGACGAAAATAAAGGAAAGAAGTCAAAAATAGTTGAAATAGCTATATTAGGCCTAAATTGAATATTTATATGCTAAAATATGAAAAATCTTGGGGAGGGTCAAAATCACATGTCTACAGGTATTTTCGCTCGACCCGTATTTTATCCCAATTCGGCCACCTTCTACGAAATTCGTTGTCTTTAATTTGTGTGCCCTTTATCCTTCATGACACTTACTTATCATTTTTTATAAATATCATAAATACGTTAACCTCAAGATAATCTCATCCCCGAGTTTACGTCGATTAACAGAAGACGAAACTTGTAACGTATGAAAATGCGAGATGTAACAATAATAACCCACCATACCCAAGAAACTCCGAATCTCTGTAGCTGATGTGGGTCTAGGCTAGTCCTTGATGGCCTCAATCTTCTTAGGATCCACCTGAATACCCTCTACTATACAACATGACCCAAGAATGCAACTGAACTCAACCAAAACTCACATTTCAAAAACTTAGCATATAACTGGCTGTCCCTCAGAGTCTGGAGAACGACTCGAAGATGCTGCTCATGCTCCTCTCAGCTGTGGGAGTAGATCAAGATATCATCAATGAAAACAATCACGAAGGAATCCATGTATGTCTTGAACACCCGGTTCATCAAATCCATAAATGCTGCTGGGGCATTTGTCAACACAAATGACATCACTAAGAACTCATAATGCCCATACGGAGTGCGAAAAGTTGTCTTAGGGACATCGGATGCCCTAATCCTCAACTGATGGTAGCCAGATCTCAAATCAATCTTCAAAAACACTTTGACACCCTAAAGCTGGTCAAATAAATCATCAATCCTCGGCAATGGATACTTGTTCTTGATTGTGACTTTGTTTAACTGTTGATAATCTATACACATCCTCATCGATCAATCCTTCTTCTTAACAAACAACACCGACACACCCCAGGACAAGACACTAGGTCTAATGAATCCCTTATCAAGTAAATCCTGCAACTACTCCTTCAATTCCTTCAACTTTGGTAGGGCCATGCGATACGACGAAATAGAAATGGGCTAAATGCCCGGAGCCAAATTAATGAAAAAGTCAATATCCATGTCGGGTGGCATCCCCATCAGGTCTGCAGAAAACACCTCTGGAAACTCCCGAACATCTAGCACAGAATCCATAGATGGGACCTCGACACTAGAATCACGAACATAAGCCAAATAAGCCAAATACCCATCCTCGACCATACGCCGAGCCTTCATATAAGAAATAACTCTGCTGGTAGAATGACCAGGAGTCCCTCTCCACTCCAATCGAGGCAAGCCCGGCAAGGCTAAGTCTTGGTCTTAGCGTGACAGTCTAATATGGCATGATAAGGTGACAACCAATCCATCCCCAAAATGACATCAAAATCGACCATATCAAGAAGTAAGAGATCTACACGGGTCTCAAGACCCCCAATAATGACCACACACGAGCGATAGATATGATCTACAATAATAAAAGCACCCACCGGTATGGACACATATACAGGAGCACTCAAAGAATCATGAGGCACAACCAAATACGTAGCAAAATAAGATGACACATAGGAGTATGTAGACCCTGGATCAAATAGAACTGAAGCATCTCTACTGCAAACTGAAATCGTACCTGTGATAACGACATCAGATGCCTCAGCCTCAGGCCTGGCTGAAAAAGCATAACATCGGGGCTGAGCCCCACCACTCTAAACTACATCTCGGAGACGACCTCCTGCTGGCTGACCTCCACCTCTAGTGGCCTAACCTCTACCTCTAACACCTCGACCTCCACCTTTAGCTGCCTGACCCCTACCTCTAGCTGGCCGAGTGGGCGGTGGGACATCCGGTGTCGTAACCATGGCACGAGAACCCTAATGCTGAGAACTGCTCGATGATCGAGGGCAAAATCTAGCAATGTGCCTCGGATCACCACATGTATAACAAGACCTCAGCTGTTGAGACTGCTGACCTTGACGACCTGAGTAACCACCCTGAAAACTCTGGAGCGGAGGTGCACTAAGAGGAGCTGTGGTGCACTGTAGGGTAGCTGATCAGAATACTGCATATGAGAACCACGACCACCTGGAGCATTGTGAGAAGTCTGAAGTGCTGAATAAAACGGCCCGGGAGGATTGCCTCTACCAAAAGAATCCCTACCTCCAGATGAGGCACCATTGAACCTGCCCGAATGACGGGGCCTCTTATTAGATCCCTGACCACTCCCCTATGATAGAACCATCTCAACTCGCCTGGCCATATTGGCTGCATCCTTGAAAGAAATCTCACTCCTTATCTCCTTAGCCATATGCAATCTGATAGGCTGAGCTAGTCCCTCAATAAACCTTCTCACCCTCTCTCTCTCGGTGGGAAGTATAAGAAGATCATGACGAGCCAAGGAAATAAATCTGGTCTCGTACTGAGTGACGGTCATAGAACCCTACTGGAGACGCTCAAACTGCCTCCGATAGTCCTCCCTCTGAGTGATAGGAAGAAACTTCACCAGAAATAGCTGAGAGAACTGGTCCCAAGTCAAAGCCGGTGACCCAGCTGGTCTAGCCAAACAATAATCCCTCCACTAAGTCTTGGCGGAACCTGACAGACGAAAAGCAGCAAAGTTGACCCCATTAGTCTCCACTATCCCCATGTTCCGTAGAACCTCATGACAGCTGTCCAAATAGTCCTAGGGATCCTCTAAATATGTACCGCCATAGGTAGTAGTAAAAAGCTTGGTGAACCTGTCCAATCTCCATAAGGCATCAGCAGACATAGCTGCTCTATCACCGGTCTGAGCTACAATACCCGGCTGAACTACCCCGACTAGCTGAGCTGTTGGAGTCTGAAACTGAGGAGCCATCTGCTCCGGAGTGCGAGTAGAGGGAGTCTGTGCTCCTCCCCCAGCCTGAGAGACGGCTGGTGCTACAGGAAGTAAGCATACCTGGGTGACACTCTCCATAAGGCCCACTAAATGGACCGGATCATCCTGGAGTATCGGGGTAGTGATGAACCCCTCTGGAACCTGAGCTGGTCCTGCTGGAACGGTCTGGGCTGGGGCCTCATCATCAAACTCTACCTGAGGCTCTGCCGCTGGTGCTGCTGCTCTAGGCTGAGCCCTGCCCCTACCTCGGTCTATAGCACGTCCTCGGCCTCGTCCTCTGCCCCTCGTAGGAACTACCACTAGGGGCTCGGGCTGCTGATCAGCGGATAATGAAACATGCGTTCTCGCCATCTACGAAAGAACATAGTAGAAATTCAATTAGCATTGAGAAAATCAAATCGCACGACAGAGATGAATAGAAGGGATGTTGTTCCTAAACTCTGTAGCCTCTAAGGGATAAACACAGACGCCCCCGTACCGATCCCTTAGACTCTACC